TCCAAGTTGATTTTCAATTTCAGTTTTGTCAGTAACAAATGCATTCAATGCCTCGTCTTTACTACTTAATAAATAAATATGGCAATACCTACCGTGATCATCAATTAAGGTTATAAAATATTTTTTACCACCTCAAGTCTGAACAAGTTTTAGATCACAAATGTCGCTATATATTAAACGTAACGGTTCACTACACCTTTTAATTGAGTTAAAAGGTTTTTTTTAGCAAACTTTGATTCAACACAAATTTCACATTTATATTTGTCTTCGGATTCAAGTTTAGATATAAGACCTAAACCTACAAGTTTTCTTAAAGAAACACGATTTACATGTCTTAATCTGCTATACCATAAATTTGAAGATTTAAGCAAGTAAACAGAAGTATTAGTTTTATTAATAACTTGTGGATACAAATATGTGGATTTTTTGTCCATTACAACTGTATTGGCCTTAAATAGACCATCAAGTAAATGACCATTTCCAACCTACATGCCTCCCTTAGTAAGTACAAATCTATCAGATTCAAACATCATTTTAAATCCTTTCTTACTAAGAATAGCTCCTGAAATCAAATTTGTCTGATATCTAGGACATGTACAACTTTATTCAGCGTCAATTCTTTCCCCGACGTGAATTTCAGAATAACCTTTCCAATCCCTTTAATTTTAGAAGTCGTAGAATTGGCCACTGTAAAACCACAATTACAAAAAATAATCAAGAGAAATTTAGAAGAAAGAAATAAAAATATGTCTTAAGAATGTTGTCGAAAATTCGACTATCACAATCAAAAGAAGTAACAAAAAGAACAAAAAACAAATGTAGAAGATGAAGCGAGGTATGCAAAAGAAAATCTCCTTAAGACAAATTTTGCCCTCCAATAAAGTGCAAACGGGATTACAGACGTCTGTCTCCCAAGATACAACACCCCTTCTAAAGTCGATATTGCATAATACCAACTTTTCGGTGAACCAAAGAATGATCGTACTCGAACGGAATAACTACGAATATATTGAAGGAATTTTTACAAAACATGGAGAGAGAAGGAATTTGGAAATCAAGAGTATATTAATTGATTTGGTGTATCAAAAACGAATCTGGAGGTCTCTATTTATAGATATTAAAGTGTCTCATTGAATGGTCGTGTGACATTCCATGAACTGGTGCACCACTTGATTTGATTCATCTTAGCCCTTAGATCGCACTATTTCATGATCTGACGGCCCAGATTAAACCGTGCAGTGTAATGTCC